CAAAATAAAAGTAGCTTTTGGTAATGTACAATCATTATTAGATTAGTGTAATTAGGAATGGAGATTTATATTTTTATGAATGGAAAGAAAACGCATTTGAAATAAAAACACTTTATTTACCAAGTGTATCTCTCACCATTGGACATGTAATCAGATATAAACACATTGAGTTATTAGAGTTCTTGAAATCTTTTACTTACTCTTAAATTCAGTACTGACGATGACGTTTCTTAGTTGATTGTTTTTGATTTTTTGTTGCCGCTCATTTGTTTTTGCCTGTTTAAAAACTTCAATATCATTAGACTCTAGACTGTACTATTCTTCTTTGAGCAAATAGCTCAAGACGGTCTAAAGATAAACAATTTACTTTATGGCGTATATGGCTTAATGTCTTTACTTTCTTCACAAGGTCATTTATTCATATCAAAGCATTTTTAATATTTAATTTTCAATTTTAAAAATTAAAATTCCTTTTCCAAACTCTCAATTTTTATTTAGCCTACATTGCGATGTTTTATTATTACAACACAGCTTGCACAACTTTTTTGTTTCCCCGGTAAAGTTTTCTGAATTTTCGTTTTGTCGAGCATTCCTCCGCATCGACCGCATCACTGCGATAATACTGTGTTCAGAAGACTCAAGTTTGATTCAGGACTCACAAATGTTTAAGATTCCCCAAACCCAATAATCATGAAATTAATTTCTTTAAACATCTTCAAAATAAATATAAAAATGTTTGAAATCCAAAAATCGTTTCTTTTGCACCTTTCAATAAAGACAAAGCGTATTTTTTTGTGAATAAAATATGACTCTTATGTCGGATTGAGTTTTAGTCTTAAAATAGGTAACTGTCATTATATATAGCTAGAGGAAAACGTATACCTAGCATTTTTTATCTCAGAAAGTAAAGTAAAGTTTTCAGAAAGTAAACTCGTATAAAAACACCGAACAATGTGCACTTACATAAAAGAGAAAATCCTCTTAATACGAAAATAATAAAGTCTAAAATGAAATATATGTATATACATACGGTATTGATATTTTTTCTTTAAAAGTACCTGTGAAACAAGCTTTCCTCGGGGAAAATCATTAGTATTCTCTGAGCGTATTCTTTGGTCAATGCCATTTATCCAAACAGATTTTTGTGGTCTATTTAATTCCTGTAAAATAGTAATGCAGTATCGTAGTTGATTTTGATTATTGTAAGCAACATTTATGATTTTCATGTAAAATATATAATTGGTTGTTTTTTTGTATCAACAAACCCAAATAAGTTTAACATTAAATAGAAAAAGAAGAAATCAAAAATGAAAAAAAATGGCGTTTCATTTATAACTGTATATAAATAACACCAAAAAGCAGTTGAAGTAACTTTTAAACAGGCAACTTTTTTACCTAGTGCTAAAACATATATTTTATTAACGAACCTGAAAAAGGGGAGTGTTATATCTTAATCTAAAATTATTCTAAAGTGTAATTATTATTCCAACCGAATCGGTAGACGCCCGCATTTCATCGCTTTCTATGCAACATACAGGCCTAATTGGTTATTTACTATTGTCAAATTGTTCACAATTCATGTTTGTTAAAAATCATAAAAATCATTAGTTAGTACACAAAGATATTAGTGTCATAACGGGAAATACCTTCTCCAAACCAGCTTAAATCGTGTCTGAAAAAGTAGGTTTGTGCGTTTAGCATGCATCTAGCGGCGAGGCAGCCGCGGCCGGGACTGCAGTGACGTCACCGCGCGCAGTCCGCTCTGTCTGGCCCACCTCTTTTACTCCATGCATCTTGGTTCATGCCGGCTCAAAATTATTGTGCGATTTCAATTATTTATTGTATCCAAGTCTAAAAAGTAAACGGAATCTGGGAAACCCTTTGCTTTTTACAAGACGAAATAGTCGTAGACTGAAAACATCTAAATGGAGGTAGCACTGACACAGCAACTCTGCTAGAAAATCGAGATGCTGTAAAATGTTGTTATGTTGGTACCACTAGAAGAATCAACCAGCTCATTCGCTATTGGCAATCCCACAATCCCCTAGTTCAGTTCCAAGAAACCCCTAAGTACTATTCCCCAAGTACATATGGTGGCCAACGTCTCTCAATTCTCGCATTTAGTGATACCACAGAGAAGAGAGTTCTATTGTTGATGGTGATACCTACGGTTACGTTTCAGCTCTAGTTCAATGTTCGCCGCCATTGCCGGTATGAACGTAACCTTGACTGTATAAGTATTTGTCTGCATTTGCGTTGTGTGTTCAAGTAGCAAGCAATGGCGGAACTGTACTGTAGATTGTAGACACTAGACAGACGACACGATGATTTAAGTGATGACAATACGATTCCCCAATTGACTCTCGACTGTGGATTGAATTGATGTTTTAGCTTTGACTTATAGTCTAGTTAATTTTGGAAAATACATCATTTTAATTGTAATAATTATTGGTTTACTGGTTTACAGTTAATTATAAGTAACTATGGCAAATATTATGTAAAAAACGTAATGTTAAAAACTGCTTTAGTAGGCCTAAGAAAACCATTTGCTACCACGAATTTTGTTTATTTTTAATTTTTCTACCACAAAGTACTACATTGATATTAATTTTGGAAAATACATATGTTTTAATTGTAATAATTATTGATTTTTTACTGGTTTACAGTTAATCATTTAAGTAATTAATCATAAGTAACTATCGGCAAATATAACGCGAAAATCGTAACGTTCGGCAGTTCGAAATTGCTTCAGTAGGCCTAGCTCAGTAGTACAATTTTATTCTGCAAAATGTTAAACTCGTTAATGTTAATTTTTAACCTTAATTTGCAGTGTTTGTAGAGTGAATATTAAGCGTTAATTTGCCTTAAGAGCTAATAAACGTATGTGGGTTTTTAATTATTTACCAATATCCGTTATTTTAATTTGTTTTTACAACTTTTATTGGGCTTTTCTTATAAGCAGCCTATATTAGTCGTCGGGAATTTTGTACTTTTTAGCCGGGAAAAAAAGATTATCTCCCACGGCCATGTAGACATTATCATCGCCTCCCGCAGTCACCGAAACGTCATTGTCGTCATGCGTGATCGCGGCGATGTGCGATTGCGGCAAAACTATTAAAATTTCCTGCGGTCATGTAGACATTATCATCGCCTCCCACGGTCATGGAAACGTCATCGTCATCTTGCGCAATCGTGGAAAAATCATTAACATATCCGCGGCTATGTAGACACCATCGCCTCCTGTGGTTACGAAAACGTCATCGTCCGCTTGCACGATCGCGGCAAAATCATGGACATCTACCGCGGTTATGTAGACATTATCATTGCCTCCCGCTGTCACGGAAACGTCATCGTCGTCTTAGGCTCAATTAAATGGTATTAGTGTATTTTAAAGCTCTTTCAAAGAATCACAAGACCCAGGTCTAGTTCTAATTATGTATGCGTGAGACATCATTGTCTACCGCGAATACGGAAACTCTATCCATGTAATCGGTAAACGTGGCAAAACTATGAATTTTTGAAACCCGCAATCTTCAGTTCATAGTCATTTTAGTCTCGGCTTAAAAATCGAGTCACTCGCACACCTCTATACGATTGAAAGTATATAAACTGAAAACTTGTGTATGGGTAATATTTAGATTTGTATAGACTTTTTTAGAGTATAATCTATTTTTTTTATCCGAAACTAATATGTAAACTAATTTGTTTAAGTGTTTAAGATGTTTATTAATTTGAGAGATGTCTTGTCTAAATATTTAGTGTTTCTGTTTTAGCGAATTTCCCTATAGGGAAGTAGCTATTACCGTAGGTGGCACGGTAAGACCTAGACCCGGGACCGATTTACTTTTTCATTTTGATGTCCCCAGAGGCCAAAAACACCATTCGTTAAAATTTTTATATATGTGTATATATATATGTATATATATATAGACTTATATATGTATATTGCCTTCAGGTTAGCTCGTTCGCTACGCTCACTCGCCTCCAGGTTGAAGTTCGTTCGCTACGCTCACTCACCTTTTGGTTGCAAATTAGCTGTTGTCATAAATTAAAAAGAAATAATAGTGCTGCACCCTGTTGGTAATCCTTGTAACTTTAATGCTATTGAACATCATAGAACAGAACCAACTTGTTTAATTGAAACAGCTGTTAAGATTCATTAATTCCATTTCTCATAAGGTTAACATGGGAAACTCCAGAGCCACTGGGGCGGACCCCTTTTAAGAATTTCGAAACGGGAAATAGTTTACGTCCGATTCGCATACCTACAGAATTTACACACCAAATTTCATAACGATCGGTGAAGTCGTTCCGGAGGAGTTTGCAGACAAACACTGTGACACGAGAATTTTATATAATTTTATATATATATATATACGTCCGTGAACGCGATAACTTGAGTAAATTTTTGTCCGATTATGATGAAATTTGGTCTAAAGGTGTAAAGCAGGATAAACTTGAATGAGTTCGCGAACCAGCACGATCGGACCATGGGAACGGGGCTTTACGGGGGGTTTTATGGGGTAAAAATTGGTTTTTCTCACTTTTGACCCTCAAAACACAAAATTTCCCGATTTCTCTTTAGACCTTATTATAGAGCTTAAAAAAAAACAAATAATTTAGTATACAAAAGTATTTTTGTTCGATTATTAGTAACGGAGAAAATTAAAAAAATTGTAAATTTAAAATTCCCATGTTATTCTTATGGAAAATATTGTCAAATGTTGTAGTTTGCTTGTTTGTGGATATATTTTGATCAAACTTGGCAAATTTATTTATTTTGTACTAAGCTATCAATATTTTACTCAAAAACACACTTTATTAGTTTCCTTGTAGCAGCAAACCTAGGTACTCGTTAAACCTAATGTTATTAAAATATATTTAACTGAAAATCAATTCAGACAAATGGAAATTCGCTTAGTCGGCAGGTTTGCTGCGGCGGGGGTATTATTGTATTGCGTAAGAGTCCTAATCCTTGTGTACTCCGCTCTGTTGTACAGGTGGCTGTGGTTCCTCCTACAGTACAAGGAGGGGCCAGGAAGAAGTCACACCAGCGCATGAGGAGGCTGTTCCAACATGAGCACAGCAATAGCTCTGCTCAAGTCAAGGTTGAACCCTCCTCTGGCTCTCAGACCTCAGCCTCTCCTAGGCCAGGTAAAACAATGTCATAGATAAGTCATTTCAAATCTATATTCAGTTCTTGAAAGTTTCAAGTCAATAGTTCAAGCTGAACAGTTTTACAATGCCATGTAGGCCTAATAATAATAAATGAAAATTAAATGTTCTAATCATGAGGAGAACCACCTCAGTTTTTATTCAATTACTTCAAGACACAAGAATTGCTCTACTTTATTTTCCCAAAAATCTATCAGGGAAAGGGATTCGACTTGTTCCAACTTTTTTTAAAACCCTGAGACATCCATAAGTGTAATAATTTGTAGAAGTATGTACTTTTTACTCAATAGTTTGTGTTGATTATAAAATTTGCATTCATACTTTTAAACAGACAACCATACATTATTGAAATTTTATATTTGTGTGTTCTATCAACCATTTCAGTTGTGGTTCTATGGTCATTAGGTTGTTGGATTTGGCATAAAGTACCACTATAGGTCCTTTCTGCTTTTTAATATTAATGTTGTTAGACTATGTCTCAATATAACTTGATGCATCTTCAGGTGCAAGTCGACCAGAAGAAGGACCCTTGGCTCCAGACCTACAGTTAGATTGGCTTTCATCTACAGAGAGTGACGATGACAGTGGAATAGAAGTGCTCAGTGTACAATACAACACCAATAACAGTTCTACTAGCAACAACAACAACCATAATAACTCTGGCAGCAGCAATAGCAGTAATGTAAGCTAACATTTTTATTTAACTTTTTTTGTGGTTAAAGGGTCAATCCATATCAAGTGGTCCAGAAATAAAATAAATGGTTGCTTCAAGATTTTTAATTTTTTTCATATTTTTATCCTTGAAAGTATAAATTATTAGAAGTACAAAAATACAATTATTTTATTTTTCAACTGTATGGCGGCAATTTTTTTGTTACTCGAACGGCCGTTTTCAGCGATTTCAGAGCTCTGCGTAAAATTAAATATCTCTGGTTCTACTAATCCTAGAACATTAAAATAAAAACCAATCTCTTCAGAAAGATCTGAACTTTAATATGGTAATACATTGATGGACTTAAAACTAAATATATAGGTCTAATTACCTGTTTAAAGTTTAACGCAACGATGTTACGAATAGGTACTGATTTTAAACAATTTATTTTTATATAAAGGCAATTGACTATGTGTTTGTAATTTTTTTATCTGATAGTTATAGGTGTGTACTCCAAATTCTCAAAGTTTCAAGTTGTGGACTTGCATAGGGTTTAAATAAAAATTGTCAAAATGTTAAAATTTTCAAAATTTCAAAAGTTTGATGCTTAATATCTTTGTAGGGCATGAAAATAAAAATTTCAAATTTGGCTCAGACATAGTACTAAGTAAGAGTATTATGCTGTAATAATTTTATTTTGTGGACTCAACTGGTTTCAAAGTTATGAAACATTGAAAAGTACTAAATAAGCATTATAGACGTAATAGCGTAGGAAGCATAATGCTGTAATATAACTCATTATGAATGTATTTTTTAACAATGTTATATTTTAATCATATATTTTAAGCATTTTGATGTTTTAAAACACTCTTTGTTGTCTGCCACAGGTACAAATCTGTGAGAGGATTGTGTTCAGGGAATTGGTAGACGTCCTTTGAGTTGAAATTGAAGTTCTAACTTAATTTTTTTGCTAATTCATTGCTGTTTACATAAAAGTATTGAATACCTTTAAGGGTTTGTTTTAACAAAAGTTAAACATATCCTTAGCATTCAAAATTTGGTTGTCTATGGTACATTGTAGAGTGTATTAGTGACTTTGCTCTTGGTAGTGCCTCCTACACCATTGCAGGAATATTTTCTTTGCGCAGTAGCAAAAAATGCCTCGCAGCTGGTATTGCAGTACCTTTGACTGAATATTTCAGTAAAAAATCATTTTTTGATACTGTACCTATAGCCACAGCCACCTTTAACTCCAGGCCGCGTAGAGTTTGCAACGTCCCAAGTAGAGTTGTCTAGTGCCAGACGTCCCATAAGATAACATGTCAGACATGTTTAAGATATGTATAAGAAATAAGATAACATGTATTATTAATTCAAATTTGGATTTATGAACATAAACAAAAAGGATTAAAAATAAAACACATAGAATTGAAAACCAAAACAATATTATATCAAATCCATTTCCATACATTTAAAGTGGAGTCAATATTTTCCGATGGTGTAGGAGGCACTACAAAGAGCGATGTCACTAATAGAGTCTACAATGTACCATAGACAACCAAATTTTGAATGCTAAGGATATGTTTAACTTTTGTTAAAACAAACCCTTAAAGCTTAAAGGAATTCAATACTTTTATGTAGACAGCAAAGAATTAGAAAAAAAATTAAATTGGAACTTCAATTTCGACTCAAAGGACGTCTACCAATTCCCTGAACACAATCCTCTCACAGATTTGTACCTGTGGCAGACAACAAAAAGTGTTTTAAAACATCAAAATGCTTAAAATATATGATTAAAATATAACATTGTTAAAAAATACATTCATAATGAGTTATAATACAGCATTATGCTTCCTACGCTATTACGTCTATAATGCTTATTTAGTACTTTTCAATGTTTCATAACTTTGAAACCAGTTGAGTCCACAAAATAAAATTATTACAGCATAATACTCTTACCTTAGTACTATATCTGAGCCAAATTTGAAATTTTTATTTTCATGCCCTACAAAGATATTAAGCATCAAACTTTTGAAATTTTGAAAATTTTAACATTTTGACAATTTTTATTTAAACCCCATGCAAGTCCACAACTTGAAACTTTGAGAATTTGGAGTACACACCTATAACTATCAGATAAAAAAATGACAAACACATAGTCAATTGCCTTTATATAAAAATAAATTGTTTAAAATCAGTATTCGTAACATCGTTGCGTTAAACTTTAAACAGGTAATTAGACCTATATATTTAGTTTTAAGTCCATCAATGTATTACCATATTAAAGTTCAGATCTTTCTGAAGAGATTGGTTTTTATTTTAATGTTCTAGGATTAGTAGAACCAGAGATATTTAATTTTACGCAGAGCTCTGAAATCGCTGAAAACGGCCGTTTGAGTAACAAAAAAATTGCCGCCATACAGTAGAAAAATAAAATAAAAATAAAATAATTGTATTTTTGTACTTCTAATAATATATACTTTCAAGGATAAAAATATAAAAAAAATTAAAAATCTTGAAGCAACCACCTCTGGACCACTTTAAATGGATTGACCCTAAATTATTATTTTTTATTTATATTAGGGTCTATCCATATCAAGTGATCCAGGAATAAAATAATTGGTTGCTTGACCATTTTTAAAATAAATAATATTTTTATCCTAGATACCTCTATCTTTCTTTAATACTTTAATTATCAATTCTGGGTTCAAAAGTGATTTAAGAATTTTTTAATCTCTTTTGTTACTTCTTCGGCGGCCATTTTTGTTTTGCGACCGTGGTGTGACGCACACAGATTGTGTGACGCAAAAAGGTAACATAAACAATTTTTATAATGTTATTTTCTACCTCAAATATAAAATGTTACAGTTTATAAATTAAATTAAAAAAAAAAATAATAAAAGAACACTTGAGATCCTCTTACCTTAGTTTTGAACTTAAAGGAGATGTTCGAAATGCTGGTTGTTTTTCTCCAAACAAAAATAAAGCCTGTCACAAAATTCTTCCCTGACTTTTCTTAACGCGTCCGCTGTGATAGCCCTGCACTCAGTTGTGATTCGATGCCTCAACTCCTTAATATCTTGAGGGGGCAATTTATAAACTATGGATTTTATGTCTCCCCAAAAATCCAATGGTGTGAGGTCAGCAGACCTAGCTGGCCACTCTATCGGTCCCCTTCTACTAGTCCATTGATGTGGAAAGTATTGGTCAAGCCACTGTCGGAACAGGAGCACCATCTTGCTGGTAGTAAACGATGTTCAGGTCTAGATTAAGCTCGCCTCCATCATGCTGATTTTGTGCTATTTCTATGATTGTAGGATTAATAACATTTTCCATCATGTTAACGTACGCCTCACCAAGTTTTCCTCAATAAAGAAGGGACCAATCACCCCACTACCTAATATTCCAGCCCAGACATTAATTTTTTGAGATTGTTGAGTATGGCGTTCAATAAATAAGTAATGGTTTTCATTTGACCAATACCTGCAATTATGTCTGTTAACCAACCCATTTATATAAAATGTGCACTCATCACTGAAACATATGTTTTTGTTAGGTCAGGGTTCTCGTTGATTAAGTCACTCATTATCTCACAAAATTGAACACGTCTGTCATAGTCATCCTGGACTATATATTATATAAATTATATAAAATGTGCACTCGTCACTGAAACATATGTTTTTGTTAGGTCAGGGTTCTCGTTGATTAAGTCACTCATTATCTCACAAAATTGAACACGTCTGTCATAGTCATCCTGGACTATATATTATATAAATTATATAAAATGTGCACTCATCACTGAAACATATGTTTTTGTTAGGTCAGGGTTCTCGTTGATTAAGTCACTCATTATCTCACAAAATTGAACACGTCTGTCATAGTCATCCTGGACTATATATTATATAAATTATATAAAATGTGCACTCGTCACTGAAACATATGTTTTTGTTAGGTCAGGGTTCTCGTTGATTAAGTCACTCATTATCTCACAAAATTGAACACGTCTGTCATAGTCATCCTGGACTATATATTATATAAATTATATAAAATGTGCACTCGTCACTGAAACATATGTTTTTGTTAGGTCAGGGTTCTCGTTGATTAAGTCACTCATTATCTCACAAAATTGAACACGTCTGTCATAGTCATCCTGGACTATATATTATATAAATTATATAAAATGTGCACTCGTCACTGAAACATATGTTTTTGTTAGGTCAGGGTTCTCGTTGATTAAGTCACTCATTATCTCACAAAATTGAACACGTCTGTCATAGTCATCCTGGACTATATATTATATAAATTATATAAAATGTGCACTCGTCACTGAAACATATGTTTTTGTTAGGTCAGGGTTCTCATTGATTAAGTCACTCTATCTCACAAAATTGAACACGTCTGTCATAGTCATCCTCAGCTAGCATGTATTTTGTATGGATTGAACTTGTTTAGAGTCATGACTTTATGAACTGAACCTAAAGAAATTCCAGTCTGACGTTGAACTTTGGGCAATGATGTAGTAGGATTCATTACAAATTGACCAAGTACTACTACTTGTGTTCGTTCATCAAGGACGCTTCTCCTGTTCTTGTCTTATTGGTAACTGAACCAGTTTCAGAAAACTTCCTAACCAAATCATTAACGGCTGTATGACTCAAGTTCTTACCTGGATATTTATTACTAAACACATTCTCAGTTCTCCTGGAACACTCATGTTCTGCCCCATAAATACAATCTCCATTCTTTCTTGTAAAGTGTACACCATTTTCAATTACTGGGAAACAACAATAATTCCTAAAACGTCCTCAACTATGACTAACATGAACACTACTAGAGAAAGTAGCCCCACGTTTGGATTTCTCTTCTTATCAGCTATTAGACTGCCTTTTTTGGCACACATTAAAACATGATTTAACTTGTTTGCCTATTAGGCCCCTGAATATGTGGTTTGACCTAGAAATAATTAGAACACAGATGAAACCATTGTTGTTCGATAGTGAAAAGTATTGTGAATAACATATCAAAAGTCTCCAAAAATATCTTTGGTGGAACACCACCATTTTTCCAAAATGGCGGCCAAATCCAGTAGTTTTTTGCTTTTTATTGAAATTCTGACTTTCCAGTCAATATTGGTGAAAAGTCGTCAATACATTTAATGTTCCTCCTGAAATTACCTTTAAAATGATACCAAATACATGTACCTACAACAAAAAATAAACCCCGTAGAAATAATAAAATATTTCAAATAAAATATTTTTTATAAATTAATGTAATAGTCCAAGCAAACTAAAAAAAAACCAGACACAAGGATCGTATAAAAATTTGCAAGTAAACATTTTATGGTTTTATTTTTATTGTTGTGGTGTGCAGAGTGACATACCAAAAGTTGCAAAAATCAGTCCACGGGAAACCCCTAAATTAAGGAAAAAATGGCGGCTTTTCCCAATATTGGACAAATTTTGCAACAAAAGATACCACATGTCTTTTTGTACATTTTTCGAGATATTGACTTGGAACCACGACCGATATTTTTTATTGGATGGTCCGTACTTAATTTCAATAGGGGACGCTTTTTGGGCCACCATCTTGGATCAGCCATTTTGAATCTGCCATATTGGATATAAATATTTTTTAATGTAATTATAGTGTTGTGACACATCATTATGAACTAGATTTCCACGCTGATTTCAATGCTGAAATCCGTTTTTAAATAAGTTTTTTCGTTGCTTAAGATATATTAAAACGAAAACCCTCCCCTATACATCAGTTATGGACGTATCGTAAGTTACTTTGAAAATGTGTTTGGATTATTTTTCTCCAGGTATTATTATTGCTTGCAGTTCGTTTTAGCCTTAAAATATTCATTGATAAAAGATCTTTCATTTTAGTTAGCTTTCATTTTGTTTTATTTATAGTTAAAACAGACTAGTTATAGACGAGGTACAAACCCCAACACAAAATTAAATCAAACTTTTTTATCAGTTTTTGTTAAAAGATTTATATCTCGGGTTGTTAATATGTTAACAAGTTCATTCTGGTATCAAAGTACTCAGTAAATGTTTGGCTTTAATTTTATTGATTATTAAATGACACATGACAAATTTAAAAGAATCATGACCTTCAATCAACTATTGAATGAATTATTGTTATTTTGAAATTTGTCTTTAGTTAAAGACATTTATCCCCAATTCTAAATAACTCCCAATAAGGAATCCATAGCTAAAATAAAAGTCAATACTTGAACGAATAGCTATGACGAGTTTTTCCCGTTTTCACTCTGCACAACACTACAAAATAAAACCATAAAACGTTTTGTTGAAATTTTTTAAAGGCCATATCCTATATTTATCTAAATATAATTTCCAAGTTACACAGTTACAGTTATTTATAAGTACAGTTATTTATAAGTAAGTTAGTCATATGTACCATCAGTCAAACACCACTCCCAATCTGTTGGATCTGCTGGTGAACTATTTCCACGCCATACTTGAACCTGATAGTACAACCTTAGACTGTGGTAGTTTTCAATGTGTTTTTAAATTGTCAAAGTACGAAACGTCCATAAGAAATGTATGGGGGAGAGTTTTCGTTTTTATATATCTTAAAATTGTAAAACGCTATTTAAAAAACTGATTTCAGCATTGAAATCAGCGTGGAAATCTAATTCATAATGATGTGTCACAACACTATAATTACATTAAAAAATATTTATATCCAATATGGCAGATCCAATATGGCTGATCCAAGATGGTGGCCCAAAAAGCGTCCCCTATTGAAATTAAGTACGGACTATCCAATAAAAAATATCGGTCGTGGTTCCAAGTCAATATCTCGAAAAATGTACAAAAAGACATGTGGTATCTTTTGTTGCAAAATTTGTCCAATATTGGGAAAAGCCGCCATTTTTTCCTTAATTTAGGGGTTTCCCGTGGACTGATTTTTGCAACTTTTGGTATGTCACTCTGCACACCACAACAATAAAAATAAAACCATAAAATGTTTACTTGCAAATTTTTTATACGATCCCTGTGTCTGGTTTTTTCTTAGTTTGCTTGGAATATTACATTAATTTATAAAAAATATTTTTATTTGAAATATTTTATTATTTCTACGGGGTTTATTTTTTGTTGTAGGTACATGTATTTGGTATCATTTTAAAGGTAATTTCAGGAGGAACATTAAATGTATTGACGACTTTTCACCAATATTGACTGGAAAGTCAGAATTTCAATAAAAAGCAAAAAACTACTGGATTTGGCCGCCATTTTGGAAAAATGGTGGTGTTCCACCAAAGATATTTTTGGAGACTTTTGATATGTTATTCACAATACTTTTCACTATCGAACAACAATGGTTTCATCTGTGTTCTAATTATTTCTAGGTTTTGCTATTTATTTTCTTATTTTAAGGCGCCTATATCTGTGTATCTATGATTATTAATTGTTTCGTTCAGTTAATGCAGGAGCAAACTGTGTCTAGAGACAAATTTTTTGCTGTTTTCTTAGAAAACAAATTATAATTTTACCTTACAAAATTAAGTTTTTCATCTGCCTTATTTTGAAACGGTAAGTAAGAGATAGAAAGAAAACTTAAATACATAAAATAAGGGTGTAGCATAGAGCACAAGGGCCTAGATTTTTTAGGATTTTTTGAGAGGATAGCAGGCTTACCTGAATGGGAAAGAGTCCAAACTGGCCAGTTTGGACTCTCCGCCAGTTTGGACTCTTTCCCATTCAGGTAAGCCTGCTATCCTCTCAAAAAATCCTAAATACATAAAATGTTTGTTTAAACACCTTTCACATGATATGAAATTTGTTACCTTTACCTTTGCTATTTAAATTTGAGTTTTCAGCTTTTTTTTATTCTTTTAGTTTGGGTATTTTTTCAATTTGGAAAATTACACAAAAATCTTACCTCCAAGTTATTTTAAAGAGTAGCTCAACAATAAGCTTGAAAAAAAAAATGGTGATGTTCCGTTCAATAGTTAGCGTAATATGGTACTTGATGTCAAAGTCCTTTTTTAAAACATTTTGGCCCACCATACGGTTAAAGACAATTAACTTTTTTTGCACCAAAATGATCGTTTAACTACCTTTTACTTTAACTATCAAAACAACCTTTAAATTGATGTATCGCACAACCCATGTTTATATTTTAAAATTTCTCGTAAAGCATCCCTACCGGCCCCACAATTGGGCCCTTTGGGGCATTTTTCAAAAATTAAAATTATTTTATTTGATTTGGCAAGGTCAAATTAGGGGAAATGAGAACAAACAACTGTTTAAAGCCTTACCTTTGTACACAACAGATGTGGAAAGTTTTCAAATGAACACCCTGTATAGTCAATGGTAATATTTGTTTGTCCACAGTCACGGCCAGTACAAGTGGTAGATCTGACCCAGGAGTCTGATGAAGAGATGCTGTATCAGCCCACACCTCCACCACCATCTCGCCAGCCCCTACAGCCTGCTCCTGGACCACCACCTCTGATACGTCTGCGTCTGCCTTCATGCCGCTACCAACCTCCACCCTCCCCTACTGAGCAGCTGTCCTACATACCTGCTGCCTGCATACACGCACCTCCTCACCCCACCACGTGGTTGCCTCATACGTTCACCTCAGCACCACCACCACCACCGCCACCACCTCCACCACTTGATGCGGGAATGCCTCATGGAGCTGGTTTCCCAGGATATTTCCCGTCCACTCCGCCCAGACTGTATCCTGTACATCAACAGCTGTGGCAGTCACAGCAACGCATGCAGGAGTTACAGAGGCGACAGCTCGCTCCCCCTATCCACAGGTAAACTCTGACCTATAGGCTTACTTTTTGGTTAACAGGGAAATACTAAATGTACAAAAACTTGAGTCAGATAATCATGTTGTAAAACGATCTACTTAAAGGATATTCTTGGAAAGAAGCAGTTAGTAGTTCCTTTGAAACATCAATTTACTTGGTAAGGTAAACAAAAAGTAGTAACCATTTAAGTTGATTGGAATGTGGTTGGAATTCTTTGAACAAATCCCTTAACACATTCACTGCGGACTACTATAATCGTAGTACCTGAGCACTAGCACTGCATGCGGCCTACTACTTTTAAATGTATCACCGCGCTCCCCGCACTAACATCCCTAGTGGTGAGCCCAGCATTCTGCGGGGAACGTTGTTATTGTCGCCATGTGTAGTGCCGGTTTCATGTACGTCATTTTGGTGTAATTCATTTTCAGATCGGTCATTTTAGCAAATTTACCATTTAGGGAATAAGCTATTATTGTAGGTCTCTTGGTAAGACCTGGACCCGGGACTGATTTTATTTTTCCTTTTGAGGTCCCCAGAGGCCAATAAAACCAAACATTCGAATAGATTCAGTGACATTGAAAAGGATAAATTTATTAAATTTGTTTTGGTATGCATTAAGTAGAAATGTACGGTTATCCGAAAGCCCAATTATGATACCTGACACTATCCGTAAAATATCTGACTCTATCGGATGGACTGTATATTATGACATATTAGACAAAAACAAAATCTTCATAAGTTAATAATCATGATCGGTTACCACTTTCCAAAGATGTAATTACAACATTGCGCTTCCATCAACGTTACTGCATGGACTCTACGAAGAGTCCAAGTTCAAACGAAGAGTAATCGTCTATGACAAATGGCATACATTTGTATAAGTGCGGCTCCGTGAAAAAATAATCAAATCAACAAACAAACACTGTAATAACAATCGATATCCGACGTAACAAACGGTTCTGCATTCGGATGAATCAGAAACAAGATGGTTATTTTAGTTCACTATCGACACATTAGACATAAAAATAGTGCAGTTGAGCTAAATATCAACAATCAAAGTAACGCCAAACATTTAATTTCAACCTTGTCTTGTAATCATTTTTTTCTTTCTCAAGTTTTGCTTACCCAAAAATATTTGTGAACTCAAAAATGAAGATGTATGATGCATTAATACCAAGTTCTCGTTTGGTCGTTTATCGCAGGCCTCCAAGTCGTCCTACTTTTCCTACTTTTTAGTAGGAAAGTAGGAAAAGTCCTACTTTTTACACATTTGTCCTACTTTCCTACTTTTTTATAAAAATTATGTCGATTTTGCGATATTTTATTACACTTATTAATGTTTACTTATCAATATTTCCCAATGAGAAGTTTTTTCCTAAAAAATATGACTGACTGAGATAATTTTTTTATAAAACAATTTGTTAAATGATTTTAAATTTTAATTTATAAGTTCCAGTACCGGTAGTATCTGTATGGGTAATCTTATCAACATTGTTATTGGGTGAAAACATTTTAATTTTCAAAGACATGGCAATACTATTGTGATAGAAAATAAAAATTGTGATTATTATCAGTGCTTACTATTCTGACATGTCTTTTAGATTCCCCAATGAAGTAAACTGAGGGGAAATCAATGCTCCTGGGGAGCCCTGGGATACTAGTTCAAAAGTAGTTTACTTTAGCACTTATCGGTCCAGTGTTTCCCTGATTAGCCTAAACATGATTTTTTGACATAACTGTATTCAAAATAAATTAAGGCTTAAGTTTAAGTTTAAATGTCCAAGTTTCACTGGCTCAAATAGTTTTTACTCATTACAATTCAAACATTCCTACTACTTTTAAGATCGCTCTAATCTAACTAATTCAAAATACTTTTGGAACATATTTTTAGAATTTTATATTATATCTAGTTCCGTACTTTATAGGCCTACTTAAATAACTATTCATGCTTCTGTTTTCCACCCAAAAAAATTCATTTTACTTTTATATTAATTTTAGTTCTGAAATATTAAATAATATAAAAAAAGAACAAATTTCTTATTTACAACACCATTTTAAACACAAATTAGGGTTGGTTAACGTTAGGGAAACATATTTATTTTTATCCTTTATTTAATGCTGCTTGTCCTAAATATTTTTTCGTGATGACTGTAGATAATGACTCCTTAACATTTTAATTTCTCTTGTGCGTTACTTCTGAATATTTGGTGTACAATCTCAGCTAAAACTATATCCGGCCTTTTAGTTGAAGATTTTTTAAATAAAAATAATTAATTATTGATTTTAATTTTAAAATTTATATATAGAATTATTTTAGTTATGTTTCATATTCTGGACATATTTTGTGGACTTCTTTCTTGGGCTAAAGCCGGGTTTTCCTAGGCGCGGAAGCGGAGAGCGGACTACACTTGTCTTAGGTAATTTAATGTTTCTGTTTTCCTAGAAGCGGAGCGGAACACCATGTTAATTTCTTTTCCGCTCTCCGCGTTCCTCTCTCCGCTCTCCGCTTCCGCGTCTAGGACCCAGCTTAAGACAAACATAAAATTCCATATAAGTATGAGTCTAAAATGCCTAGATTTTAATTTGTCGGTCTGTTTGTGATTTTTAAGAATTATTTTATATCTTGGGCATTTTTCAAGATAGAACTTTTAAAATGGATATAAATGTGTATTTTAGAAGGTGATAAGAGCTTGCAAAATTTTGATCTAATATCTCAAGCCGTTTCAATATGGCAGCCGTTTAAAATATTTAATGCCAAATTTAATTTGAAACCGTAAATATTTAGAATATAGTTTCCTGGATCAAAAAGATAGAGAATTCAAATACAAATCAAATGAGACCTTGTTTTTTTAAAATCTGATGACAAACAACCAAATCAGTTTTTTTCTAAATTTGTTTACGCAACTTAATAGGACTACCCATACTGCTCTGAAAAATAACAAATAAGAATACAGTATGGTAGTGCTATTAAATTAAGTAACCGAATGTTGAAAAAAAACTTATTTATGGTTGTTTGTCATCCGATTTTACAAACAAGGTCTCATTTGATTTGGATTTGAATTCTCTATCTTTTTGATCCTGGAAACCATTTTCTAAATATTTACGGTTTTCATGAAATTTGGCATTAAAGATTTTAAATGACTGCCATATTGAAACGGCTTGAGATATTGGATCGAAACTTTGCAAGCTCTTTTCACCTTCTAAAATACACATTTATAACCCTTTTAAAAGTTCTATCTTGAAAAATGCCCAAGATATAAAATAATTTTTAAATGTCACAAACAGACCGACCAACAAAAATTTAGGCATTTTAGACCCATGCATACTTATATGGAATTTTATGTTTGTCTTAGCCCCAGAAACAAGTCTACAAAATATGTCCAGACAATTTGGAAACACCCTGTATATTTATATACACTATTATATTTGATAAACCATTGTGTATGCTAGTATTATTTGGTTTTTAATATATATTGTATCAGCAAAAAAGTTTGATTTGTATGTAAAATTAAGTCCTACTTTTCAGTAAAAAGTCCTACTTTTTGCTGAAAAAGTCCTACTTTTCCTACTTTTTTGAGGTCAAAAACCACTTGGGGGCCTGTTATCGGCTATTCGCTTGTTTGTGCCTTATGATTAATCTAGAGCAAGACTAAAGCATAAATAAAGCAAGAATATCGCAGAAAAGAACTACCAACCTCAAATAAAAGTCAATTCGTGTTTAAATATCCTGTTACTTAGATCGCTGAGTCACCATTATAGCTTAGTTTACAACTATTGTAAGTAGTAAGTAGGGGGTCTGCGGTGCACCGAAAAAGTCGGTACGTTACGGTTATGGCGGGGAGTCGACCTTCAAAAAATCAATTTGGAGATTTTTGCATTTTTGGATAGCTTGGTTTTTTACGTTTAATCTAATATACCACACTATATACTTTATATGTGGTTTAGGTAATGAAAAAAATGTTAAATACATGCGTGCATAATAATATTTATGCGTTTACCTCAGCGTCATGTCACCGGCCGCTCAGCTTCAAACTCTTGAATTTACTATAGTACTTAGCCAGTATTATTTTATTCAGTTGCCATGGTATTTAGAGGGCCTTGGGAGTTTTGTGTCTATACTCAGCTTTTTTTCTGTTTTTATGAAACTTGAGCAGAAGCTGTCATATGTTAGAGTTAGACGTGTTTGTTTTGTTTCGGTACAATTCTGAATTGGGAAAGTTTTATTTCTGAATGTTCGTGAGTGTTTGTGTTGTAAGTGATAACTTATTATTCTGAACAATGCCTAGAGTAGGTTAAGTATTCAAAAAAAGGAAAAATGTTGGTTGGCATGGTGTCACTAATAAGTCATGACAAAACTGTAACCTCAATTACAAGTCCTAGGCCTAGTGTTCCTTCATGTAAGTTTACTCGTAAGAATGTTAGTGCATCTAAAAGAAAAATCACCAGACATTCAATTGAATACAATCAGTTTTAAGACAACTCTTTTCAATATGATATTGTAGATTTTGCTGACTTGAATAAATTGATCTCTGAGATAGCAGTTTGTAAGCAATGTGGGTATTCTTTGCAACTTACAGTTTCAAATCGAGTAGGCCTAGCGTGTACAATGACTTTAGAGTGTGAAAATGTCGAATGTAATGCTAAAGTTAGTAAGGAAAACAGTGCCAAACCAACTGTAGAAGAAAGAGATAGAACTTATTACGACATCAATCTTTGATTTGTTTATGCGCTACGAACAATCGGTATCGGCCAAGAGACTGGTTGAGCCTTTGCAGGTGTAATGAACTTCAATATGCCTTCCAAGTTTGCTTTTTATAACAAAGTTCTTCAGTCAGCAACAAAGATGGTCTGTATTGAGTCAATGAAAGAGGCAGTGGAAGTTGCGGTTAAAGAAAATGAAGGTTGTGGCGACATTGCAGCTGCGTTCGACGGAAGTTGGCAAAGGCGAGGATTCTCATCGCTAAATGGTGTGCTAACTGCAACAAGCATCACTACTGGTCAAG